CGCTGGTTTGATCTAACATGGGAGATTTCACCAGTCTTCAGGCTCGAGGGCAACTTGTTCATTAAAAAAATGTATTTTAAAGTGATATATTGCACGGCTGTTATTAGACCTTGAAGAGAGTAATCGCAGCACTGTGTTCCTTCCCTCTGGTCAGCTTTGTGAGAAAATGAAGTGAAAAAACAGAAAGGAGGATGAGTGCACTGTTCCAGAAACCCTGTGTTAACCCCATTTCTGTAGGGCACTGCAAGAGCAAGAGTATGTGGAAGGGTGAACCACAAAGGTTGTTTGTGCTCTTTGATGTTGTTTTATGATGTACAAAGAGAGTTCCACTTGAGATATTATTTTCATCTGTTGTCTTAATTAAAAATGTCAGGAATAATGGGTTATGTCTTTGCTTTTTGTACCAGAGGACTGACTGCAGCAAGGTTTTGAGAGGTTTTGGGAGTATCTTTCTATTTTTCTTACGATAAGAGAGAAAACATGTGCATCACTTATTTTGTATTATTTTACTGACTGTAACTCTGATATGATAAATGCTAAGTGACTTTGTACATATAGGATTTTTCCACCAAAGTTATACTGGGCAGGACCACAGCCATGTGTTTTGCTGCCAGCTGAAGGAGCTACAGTAGTTCATTCAGAGATTAATACATTTCTGTATTTACAGAATGTGTGTCATGGTGTAAATTAGCAAATGACCATTCTTTTGGATTTTGTTAAGCATTCAAAATTACAGACCCACACTGGGTGAGTCCTGCCACTGATCAGTCATGGAATCATAGAATATCCTATGTTGGAAGGGACCCACAAGGATCACAGTTTAAAAAACAAGGGTAAGCTAGGATGGAGAGCTGTCTAGTTACATATTTGACATCTATATAAAGTATATATAAACCTGTCAGTACCTCAGAAAGGGTTCTTAATTTTTTAATTTGTGTTTGCCCCTTCTTGTTTAAGTCCAGTGCCCCATGAAACTCTAACATCCTTAAAAATGAAGTATATTTTTTGTGATAGCTCGAAAATTAGTATTAATGAATTAGCTCATTTAACTAAACCTGAGCACTCCCTTTCCCCATCTGAAGAAAAATATCTGCAAGTGCAGCATAGGTATCATTTCTTAGACAGAATTACCTGATAGTGGGTGTTGTACACAAACCTTTTTATTTTTTTTTTCTGTAAGGAGCTGACCAGCTGATCAGCTGGTAACCCTGTTACCTGCCAGAACACAAATTTATAGTAGATTTTATGTCAGTGCTCCTACACACACACAAATTCAACTTCATGCATAAAAACTGCCTCCATATCTTTAATTTAGTTACCAGAGGGGCTTCAGTCAAGGTGAATCTGCCAGAGCTAGTTATGAACTGAGAGCCTTTTGTGTTCATGGAGGTAAATCCTCCAAGATTGCTTTCATCAGGCAGTGAGCTGCTGTTGGTATGTTACTCTCCATAGTGAGCTGTCTAGTTTAAGCTGAATTAGCTGTTTCTTTACAAGTCATGGTAGCTGTAGGATATTTCTGCAGTGACATTTTCTTGGTGTCAGGGGTGCCTAAAAATAACCATAAGAGAAAATGAAGCAGATGCTGAGCTTTTTTACAGAAAATAAGACTTTTTCACAGATCGTTATAATTCCTGTTAGGGTGGTAGGCAGAAGCTGCAGGTCCCCTGTTCTCTGTAGAAATGTTGTGAGGTGATTCTGTGTGATGAATCCAAGTTGGGATGAAAGAGTGGCATACCTTAAAAGATTTCAGTAACCCCACCCTCTCCCCAAACTATGACCTCTTGCTGCTGCCAAAAATAACAACTTCTGAAGTACAGCTTCTGTTGTAGCCTCTGTGACATGCAAAACCTGAGGGTTTTGCAAACCTTTAAGCAGGAAATTATATGGCCTCCTTTATGTTCCCTGTGAATTTGATTTCTTCCCTGAAGCCAGCAGATGAAAAAAGTGAAATGTGGTTGTGCCCCTGGAAGAAAACTGCAAATTAGCAAAATTCAATACTTGAAGCAAAATTACTGTTCCCCAAACTGCACCAGTCACAGGCATTGCTCTATCAAGCCCCACTCTGGGAATGTCAGAGACATTAAAGTAAGTACAGGATGTGATAACATCCTTTTTAACATGATGTTAGAAGAATGGGAAAAGAATAGGAAGAAAGAGCTACAGCATAATATAATGTGCATGTGCATGTACATGTATTAGTCTATTGAAAATTGTCTGAATATCCAAGCCTGAAAGATTGTGATCAGTGGCACAAGTTCCAGCTGGAGGCAGTCACTGGTGGTGTACACCAGGGGCTCATACTGGGGCCACCACTGTTTAATTTCTTCATTGCTGACCCAAGTGACAGAGTGCAGCCTCAGCAAGCTTTCAGGAGATGGAAAACTGGGAGGAGCTGTTGATACAGCACTCAGTTGTACTGTCATTCAGAGGGACATGGAGAGGATGGAGAAATGGCCAAAGAGGAAACTCAAAAAGCTCAAGAGAGGAAATGCAAACTTCTGTGTATGGGAAGAAACAACTCCATTCACCAATCCGTGCTGAGGCTGGAAAGCAGCTTAGAGGACCCAGGGTCCTGGTGGACACCATGTTGAGCATGAGGCAGTAAAGAAGGCAAGATGCACCCTCAGGGTTGCCAGCAAGGCTGAGAATGGTGACTCTGCACCAGTGCAGCCTCCCCCTGAGTATGGAATTTGGGGCTAACTGGTAAAAGATGGACTTGCTGGAGCAGGTCCACTAAAGAACCATGATGATGATCAAAGGACCAGAGTATCTTTCATGCAAAGACAGTCTGAGAGAGCTGGTACTATTCCCTCCGGAAAAGAGGAGGCCTGGGGGGTATCTTATCAGTGTTCACAAATACCTGACAGGAAGGAGTAAAGAGGAAGCAAAGCTTTTCTCTGTAGTGTGCAGTGGCAAAACAAGAGGCAATAGACACAGACTAAAATACAGGAAATTCTGTTTAAATGCAAGAAATAACGTCCTTGTTCTGAGGGTGGTCAAACACTGGCACAGCTTTTTTATAGTCTCTATCCATGAGGATATTTAGAGCTCAACTGGCACAACCCTGGACAAGCTGATCTAGCTGACCCTGCTTCAGCAGGGAGGCCGGACGAGGTAGCCTCCAGAGGTACTTCAGAGTACCTTCCAACCTCAACCATGGTCTGATTTGTTCACTTAAATATTACATCAAATTAAAGCTTTCCACGTGTCAAAAATACATTTTTGTGTTAGTAATCAGAGGATCTGTTAAAGGAATTAAACTGTGTTTAAAGGAAGGCCTTGTGGGGTGGGCTCTCATCCCTTGGGAGCACTGAAGGAAACCTGGAAAAACCCATGAAGAGGAGGCATGTGGAAAGACAGTCAAAGGGTAGGGCATGAGAAATATAAAGGAGAAAGAAGGTAAAGCTTTTAAGTCTGAAACACAAGGATCTAAAACAAAAGACAGATTTGGGGAGTTATTTCCTTTGTCAATTTTAGTAATTGCTCTCAATTACCTGAGACATGTTTTGAAATAAAACACACATTCCCAGCAGCCTATGAATTGCTCTGTTCCTTATAACTGAATTGGTTTGCAGCAGAGGGAATATATTTCAGTGCTGAATATTTCCTTTCTGGGTGTGCTGGTGAATCCTGCTGCAACACATACCCTCCCAGGCAGCTGGTATGAGTCAGTGTGCTTTAGATGTTTGCTACAGAGGAGAAGAGGGTGGGGATGGCTAAGTGCAGCAAATGGACAGTAATTTTGTGATGCTACCCAGAAGAAAAGCCACCCTAAAATGAAGATAAAGGGATTGCATCCATGGTACAGTGTTGCAACAGCAGTGTAAGTGGTGAAAGTGAGGTAACCTGAGCAGAAGTTCAGGTACTCATTATGGGTAAAAGACAAGATGCCTCATAGTAGAATAAAATGGGTCACCTTGTTAGACAATTAGATCTCCTTTGGGGAAAATATCTCAAAGCAAACACAGAAGTTGCTTTCAGTCTTTGCCTCCCATTTCTGTCTTAATATTTTTGCAAGAAGCAGATATAAATTTAGAGAAGTATGCAAGAAAAAAATAAAAATATATGAAGAAAGTGAAAAGTTATTGAGTCCATCTCCCAGATGAGTTGTTAATTTTGGATACTTATACACAAGAAGTATTTTTAGGGATAAAGTGACACAATAATAATTTTAAAGTCCACTTATTACCCATGGAAAAAATCCATTGGCTCCAGATTATTAAAAAGATACTCTTAAGCTATCCACTAATATATGACTCTGGAACTGCTTTGAAAAACTTTGTGTTCAAAGGCCCCAGTTGAAAAGAAACACAGGAGGCAGTGTTTCACAGGGAAGGACAACCAAGTGGGATTTGGAAAGCTTGCAGTCCTTGACAGGATTTGCTAGTGAGTCTCTGTATGATCTTGGGTCTGGTCATGCCTTCAATGGATTTTAACTGGCTTCATAGTCAAGCCTCACCTTTTTGCCCTGCTAGAGGTGAGTAGGGGAAAAAGGTGCCCTACAAGCTGAGTCTAGAGTCCTACATCTGTTTTTCCCAGGTATTGGAAGATCCTTAGTTGCATGTGTGAAATTTGTTTGTGATTTCCCTTCCTCCCACGCATCCCCTCAATGGATGAGTTGCATGGGGCTGATGGCTCTTTAGCCTTCTTTAGAAACCCTGAAATGCCCTCCCAGAAAGACAGGTGAAGTGTATATACTCAATCCTTAGAGGTTTATGCTCAGTTTATATAGAGGCAGGTGTAGTGGGATTAAAGTCACCCTTCAGAAATCATCCTGGAGAGGTGATTTGAGAACCAGGAGATAAAGTAGGACATGGCAGTTTCAGAAAGGATAAAAGCAGAAGGCAGTAACAGATTAGATGTGGAAAGACTGTGACTGATGCCATGTACACCTCAGCACGAGTGAAGCATAAAATTAACATCAATAATCAATAATTGAATGCAATAACAACCAAGTATTGAGTGGCAAAGAGAGGTTGACAAACATTCAGCTACAGTACTTCTTCATGATTCTTGAGTCAGGGAAATGCACATATTCAAAAGAGTCTGTGATGAAAAAATAGATATACTGTTTATTTAGAGACTTAAAAATCTAGACGTATTATTCATTTTCAGTAATTTTACGTATTTTTTTAGAAGAATTTTTCCTAAAGTAGAAAATAACATCTTGAATTATCCTCTATTCTAAGGACAAAATGCTTCAGTTTTGGCAGGTGTAAATCTACAGGCGTTTGAAAATATAATAATGACTGTGATAATGTTTTTAAAAGTGGCCTTGATATCTCTATTTGTACATGGACAAATTTTCAGTTATTGCACACATTGTTCTACCATTACTGTCTGTGCAGTCATTAATGGAATTTGTACATACAGATCTGCATTTATATTGGAATTTGTGAAGTGAAATTTAAATTTTAAAAGCCAAGCATAAATTTTGAAAAGTATTTCTGAAAACCAAATCTAAACACTATGGGTCTGTGAAACTCCTTGGTCACAAAAGAGGAAATTAAAATACTTATGTATATGCACAAACAAACACACACAGACTTACAGTTTTCAAAAGTTTGATTTTACCATTTTGTTGAAGAAATCTAAAATTCTAAAAGCTGTTTCAGAGTTGTCAGCTCTTGTATTGCCAAGACTTTTAAGATGATGACTCAATCAATTTTCCAATTGTCTGCTTGTCTCTGCCTGATATTTCCTAATAGATGCCTCAGTAGTCACATAATTTAGACATAAAAATGGAATTTATAACTTTTCCATTTACTCTGTCTCTATCACTGTCCACTGCCATTACTTTCTCTCAGCTTAATAACTGCAATGAGAGTAAAAAATAGTCTTATTGTCTGCTCTCCTAATGTGCAGCAACTTGTCAAATGCCAGAGAATGGCAACTGTATGCATATCAACTGTTTCTGAGCTTTCTATTATCCTCACCCTATTTTACATTTTCTTTTTAAATTGGCCATACATTTACAGACAAAAATTCTTAAGCTTTCTATTTGCCCATAAGTGTGCACATTCAGTTCATTTTAAAATGCTTTAACCCAGTTTTAGCTGTCGCTGAATCATACTGGTAGTGAACCAAACTGTTTTATTTTTCTACAGTTAATTTTCTCCTGCTGTTGTTCTGTATTTATTCTGTGGTTTTGGTATTCTTAGTAGAGTTCTAGAGCAGGTTGTTCTTTCTCTGAACTCACAATAATGGATTTGTGATCGTGGAAATTACCAATGATGACATGTGAATTACAGTGTATATAACTAGCGTTGGTAAAGCAGATGGATATCTGAGAAAAATAATTCCTTAATTAATTTTTAAAATTAAGAATGAATTAAAATTTTGGAAGATGTGCAAGAAACAGCACTTTTCCCTAAAAAACTTATTTTAAAATGTTCAGCAAAGAGTGCAGACTTGTGTTGCCACATACTACAAGAATGAAGGCTATTTTTCCTGCCTTAAATATTGAAGATTATGCTTCAAACATCTGAAAAGCCCTTTGTATTCTAAAAAAAAGCTACCTGAAAATTTGCTATCAAATGTGTGATTGCTTTTGAGGCAATTTGGCCAGCATTTTCTTTGTGTCTTTGCACTTGTTGAACCTATTTCAAAGTATCCAAAGATGGCATGAGCCAAACTGTGAACTACTAATAACTCACAATATTCCAAATGTGTGTGTTTTTATGAATTTAATAATTACATAGTTATTCAATAATCCCTTTTTTGGAAAATTTATAGGCATTTTGATGGAGACTGGATCTTAAAATACAAGGTCTATGTTAGAGGGGGACTAAAAGAGAAAACTCACATGAAAAAGACCCTTATTTTTTAAAATTGCTTTGAGAGCATTAAAAGACTGAAGTTGTCATTAGAGGGGATGAAAAATGTAGTAGGGAGAAAACTTTGAATACATTGGCAGATTCAGCTGAGAACCCCTATTTAGCTGGATCACAGATATAACTCCTTATTTCTTATATCTTAATCGAGCTGGAAATCAGTCAGAGTGCAGAAGGAACACTGCACTAAGTTTCTCTACACAGGTGTTGTGATAGGTGACTTTTCTGACAGTTTACACCTACAGAATTTGGATTTCTGCCTTTACTGTGGGTGTGGGGGTCTTTGGAAATAAAATCCTTGGAATAGTAAAACTACCAACCACGCCTGTTATTGATTAAGAAAAGGTTTTGCAACCATTTAAACTAGCAAGCTTGGCCCAGGTGTAAATGTAGCTGTTCCATGGATGAACAGAGAACTGACAACAAATCTTAATTGTATATCTGCTTTTCATCAGCAACACAAAGTCTTTTGCAGACAAGAAAAATGCTGGGACTTCATGATGAGCTTTGCACTGCTCTTCTCCCGCTGCCCATCAAACACAGGAGCACAAGGACATGCAGCACATTTTGCAGGAGTCAGGGAGATTGGCTGTTTCTTTTGGCTAAAACGCTGTGGTACAGAGGCCCCTTGCCAAGCAAACTGAAGCAGGGCACATGCCAGTCATGCCCCTGTCCTTAAAGGACCATCTTATTCAAAATAACAACAACAAAAAAATCCAGTCTCCCATGAACTAGGCTCAGGAGGAGTGCTTCTACGCAACTTAAAAAGAAGCAAGAAAAATAAAAGGCCCCAAGCCACCAAGAGTTTGTAAAAAGCGTAACTGAGGGTAATGAGAAAATGGGAATTAGCTCTTATGCACTGTCTGAAAAATTGACTAGGCAACATATGAAGCACAGTTAAAAATTCAGCCAAGCACTACTTGCCAAGAACAATAAAAAAATAATCAAAACCTTTCAATTATACTTACTTAAATGAAATTTCAAAATGAAAGTCAGGGAAAAGCGAAGATGTGTAACTTTGCTTTTAGTTTAGCTCTGTCGCACAAAAGGCAGCAGATTTCCTGGGGCTTTTACTTTCAGAAGAGGGATGTGCAGTGCAAACAAATTTCAGGGCCCTGCAGGAAATTTCATGAGTTGTTTGTCCAAACATCAGACTGGAGCAAATCAGAGGAACCTGCATTATCCTCGGGGTGACCCAGTATATTAAAAAGCTGAGCATTTTAAAATGTTTCATTTTATAACTGAGAAGGCCTCTGTCTGTTCATTTGGATAGTTAGTGCAAGTTTGTTCTATTAATATCTTGCTAGACAGTACATCCTTGTTAGTTCTTTAAGGATTTTTGCCACTGTTATTTGATTAAGAAAAAAATATACAGGCTCTTTGGGACATTTACATTTTCTTTAAAAACTCCAAACAAACCCAAACCCAACGGGAAATAACCAAAACCAAGCCTACATGGAATTGATGCAGAAAAAAAAAAAGTTTTCTTACAATCAAATGTGAGCTAACAAACAAGTAACTTGCTTCTGAAACTGAAAATGGGATATAGCCTTCTAAAATCATTTAGACACCTTTGAAAACTGGATTTGAAAATCCTACTGACAGGATAGCCAGACTCCTTGTCAAGTACTTCTGAAGGAAGAACTGAAGAATTTGGTTTTCACTTCTGTATATCATTAACTCAACCTATAAATAGCTAAAAATGTCTGCCAGGGCCCAGATCTTCATGCTGAGACTGACACTACAGAGGCATTGTGTAAAAGTTTCACTGTAAACTTTTTTATTCTTGCTTATTCGGCTATTTGTATTATCTCATTAATGATTAATGGAAATGAGTAGGAGTTGCCACAGACACGACCATATTTCTGGTTCAGAAAAATTAGACTACAGTGAAGGTGTGGGAATTCTTGGGAAGCTTAATTTTTATGCTGCTCAATCTCATTTTGAAGCACTTTATAGCACCAGATCAATTGTATTTGGTACAATAGGAAACAGTGGTAGAGACTGAAATAGTCATTTCACCAGCAAGTGAAAAGCAGTTGTCAAAAGGCATTGTCAAAATTTTTTTTCAAAGGCTGTCTTTACAGCAACAACAAGCAGTTACATGTAGGAGGAAGTACTTATTTATCTGATTTAAATGAAAACAATCTGGCTTCACTAATTAGTTTCTGGCAATAATTAGCATGTTGCTCAATTTATTTTAATAGCACATTAATTTGATTCCTGATCTTGCCAGAAATGCAACCAGAAACTTCACAGTAACAAAATATATCTCTAATAGAAGCTGCCAAAGCTCTCTGTTTAGACAGTTATTAAGGAAACTATTTGCATTGGTTTATTAAGTGTAACTTTGTAATGCAGTTCTAATATCTAACTTTCACCCAGAAACATAAATTAGCAATGCAGAAAAAACATGCAGTGGAATTAGGCAAAAATAAAAATACAGTTGCTTTATAGGGGCTCTATAGTTTTTCTTAACTGAGAAGAAAACTGTTAGACAAGGCAGGCTCAAGGCAAAAGCCACCACCCAAGGTGTCAGGCTATTTCTAGGACCCTCATCCCATGGCATTCACAGGTTTCAAGATATAATAGGCATCTGCTGGAGCAAAACCAGACTATGGAACACAAGCTAATCCTTTGGATAAAACTCTTCAGCAGAAACCTTTTTAAAGCAGAAGAGCACAGGAAGAATCAAAGGCAACTCACAGAGCTCTTCCTTCACGGAGCGTGGGTTTGGAGCTAGCACAATGCCCAGGTGGTTTCCCCTGTAAAACAAATTTTTGCAGCTTTACTAAATGCTCCACAAAGCTTTCTGAAGATCAGAGGCACTGGTAGGTTGAAATGGTGCAAGTGGACAAATATTCTGTGGGGTTTTGGTGAGTTTCCTGTGGACGGCCACAACAGCCCTGGCACCAATCAGCTCTGTGAGATATTCACCCTTGCTTTTCAAAGAATCTACCTCAAAGTGAACTAAGACAGACAATATGCTCTCTCATTCTCATCTGCCTTAACCCATATTCAGTAGCTCAGTCTGTGTGGCAATAGCCATTTCAAATGTTAACACACAGAAAAAGTTTTTGTTTCAATAGGCAGCTGCTTAATTTTAATGGGGAAAAATATATCTCCTGATTTTAAATTTTCTCAACTTCTAAATCTTTTAAAAGAGCTTACATATTATTTCAAGGTATGTTTGACTATTTTCATTATCTATTCCTTAAAACTAAATTAATATTTTGGGAACAATGTCCTTATTCTTACATTGTGGTTTCAAGGGATTTCAGTAAATCTTTGTGCCTATGTATAGGACTACTTTGGAGAACATGAAGAATTTTTTTTCCTTGTATTTTAAAACAAAAGACCAATATGTAAGTAGAAAATATGCATGAGGTTTCTAAAGATATATTTCATTAAATATTTTTCCTACTAAAAATAACATTTTGTAAAAAATGTAAGTGTTGCTGTGGGAAAAAATGTATATCCTGAAAAATCAGTCCATAGAACACAGGAATGGTGCCCAGCACAAGAACATTGGCAGCATTTTAGAGAGCCCAGAATCTAGAATGCATGGGCCACTAACAGTATAGCCCCAATAAACATTGTTGATAGAATTTTTGAAACAAATGCCTCTGTTGTAAGCTTACTCCCCTTTCAACAGCTTTTATACTGGCCTATTGTGTTTCTCATGAAAAAAAAAAGTGTATTTTATCTGAAAATATGCTTTCCATTCAAGAAATCAGTCAAAAATAGAGTAGGTATTTCCAATTCCCAGTCAAATCAGCCTATGACCCACAAACCAATAGATACTTTTTCTGTGTTTGCAAAGCATACTATATTTTGAATTGGATTTTTAATGCAAACATTTTAAGCCATAACATTGAGAGTGCTCTGTGCATAAATAAAATATTGTAATTAAAATATTGCATGGAACCATCATTATGGTAAATGAACACATTTATAATTATTGTCTGTAAAACTGCAGAGTGCCAGTTTAGCATAAACTGGAGTCAATGTGAATCCTATTATTCTCATTAATTGCTGTTAGAGAATGAGGATGCACACTATGGCTTCCTTTGTAAAACACCACTGCAAATTCAGTTTCTTCTTCCTTTTATTGCTGTGCTATGGGAAGTCCTTACCATCCTACTGGGGAGGAGTAAGTAGAGGAATTCTTAGGAAGACTTTTGATGGAGTGATGACACCAACACTGTCTGCTGCAGGATAGACCTTTGTGGTGTATATTGCAGAAATGCCTCCAGATCTGCTTGGTTTGTGTTCAGGTCAGGGTTTTTGTCTGTTTTTTGGCTGAAGCAGTAATAACGTGACTTTTGGTTTTGTTCCACAGGTCTGTTCTTGCTCATGTTTTGCAGAACAGAAAGTTCTGGAGCTGTGAGGCAGTTTCTGAGAGACAGTGTTTTTGTGCTATGCTTATGACTCCATGACTGTGGTATTCTTTTGCTGAGACTTATTTGCTTTAATTGTTGATAAAAATAATTTCAGTTCATCTACATCTGCTTGCAGACTCTGTTAACACTGGGATCCAGTAATAGTTCAACTGAAGAAAAAGGGGGGGAAAAACCCAGCCATTTTGAGACAATTTGTTTTGAAATTTTTGATATTAAACATTTGTTATACTAAGTTCAGAAAGGTCACAAAGGTACCATTTATAAAAGAGCTTTTTGATTACAAGTGAACAAACATTCCTGAATGACTTTTCATGTAAAATGTTTGTGACAAATATGTGCCTTTTTATGGCTGAACAATAAGGTAATGTGTAACCAGCATTCCAGCAACAGACATTGACAAAAGCTAAAATGTGCAAGAGCTGACCTCCTGTTTCAATGAGAGGAATTTGAAAAATCTAACTTCCCTAGAAAATTTCTCAGAGTCTGGAAATGGTTAGCTTTTAAAGTCCCTCAAAATCTCTTTTCTTCAGAAAATGTTGTTTTAGCTTTATAATTAACATCAGTAGTACTTTGCTTGGTAAATGGTACATTACTGCTTTAATACCCAAGCTGTTCACTGTGGGAAAATGTCTCATTTACAGTGGAGGGACTCAGTGGCTGTGTCTTTCTGCTTCCGAAAGTGCAGCATCCCAGGACAGATGTGAACACAGCATGGTTCCCCTCCTGCCAGCTCTCCATCTGCGTGGCTGCCCTGGTGGAGCTGCAGGCTGCCTGGGGACGGGCTCAGTGCACATGGGTAGCCTTGGACCCGCAAGTTCCCCTGTGCTGCAAAGGAGGCTTCCTGTCCCTTACAGTTCTCCCATACTGAAGAGCTGAGGCTTGACAGAGCCAATAGAAGTGCCCTTTCATGAATTATAAAGGCAAAGATAATTTTTCTCTATGAGGCAGAGAGAAGAATGGGTTTTACTTTGCCTTTTCTGGTTGGGAGAACATTGACTCTTCTGAGTTGCAAGACATTCTCTTTTCTATTTATCCCCTTTTGTTCTTGGATGAAGAATTAAATGTCCTACGTTCACATCTCCAATTTACTTCATTTAATTTCTGCATCTTCTGTTTTTCTGTTTAGTCGATTATCTTGTTAGTCATGACAGCATGGGAATATCCTTCACATTCCTAAATACTACAGGCAGCCACCAGCACAGGATGAAATGTAAGAATCACCAAACTTGTTTTCTAACAATACAATTATAATGGGAAGGTATACACAAAAAGACAGCTTTTACAACAAAATTTGGATGATTAATAAACTCAGCTTTGAGATAAATGGAATGAAAACTTGTTTTTCCAATTTCAATGAAAAGTTATAAAAATATTTAAAAGCATGAGTGCTTAGCAGGAACCTCCTGTCTTACCTGGGTTCATTCAAACCCTGTGCTGAGGAAAGGAATTAGTAAAAAGCAGGGCAAAACCTATTGTTTATACACTGTTTATGCCTTGCCCCTACAGATGACATCCTGTCTGACAGACATTGTCCTTGTGTTTTGGTCAGTGAAAAAAACCCACAACATTTGCCCGTCCAATTTTTTTCAGAGTTATGTTTTGATTATGGATACTTTTATGGATAAATCCATAATGGAATTTCTAGTATATGTGGAACATGTTTATTCTGCATCTCTTCCCTGAAGCAATAATAAGGTGCTTGTAGTACTACAGAACTCTAATTAAACCTTTCTAGGAAGGTGATTTTTCAATCACTTATGGACAGTTCTCACCATACTCTTGTTCATAATACTGCTTTGAAAAGCAAAGTATGCCCCTCTATTTAAAAGGCATTTTGCTGACTTCTCAATTATGTTTTTATACATTCCTCAGTGTCACTTACAAGGCCAGAACCTCCTGTATGAAATGCTAATATAAATAAGGCTGGTGTATCCGATGGGGAAGCTCTTTGTGCAATGTGCCTCTGCAATTTTTTGAATGGAGATCATGCCCATACCCAAAATATGTATGTGTTATCAAGGTCACAGACTCTACAGCAGTAGATCGACTCTGTCAATATAAATGAGGTTAGAGCATATCTTTTTAATCCAAATGTATTCTTCTTCAAAGCTAAATTAAAAGACCATAATTGCAGGGAAGCCTTATGAGAGCCTTTGCTTAATTACTGATCAGGTGAGGTTGCACTACAGAATTATTTTTCTTGACCAGAATAAATTTTGCTATTTTTACACCAGGACACTATACTTTGATCAAATTTATTAATATTTTTGGTTTCCTTTCCATTGAAGTTATCCCCTTTTCTCCAAGTTGATTAGAAATGTGATATTTGCATATAGGAAAAAAAATGTCTGTCTGTGAGGTACAAAAATTTACTGAAAAAATGATAAAGGTTTTGACTGGTAACAAATCAAGTTTTCATTGCTGATTATGCTCATTTGCATTGGCTTTGTTTAATTTTGTTTTGTTTTCCCAGAGACATAAGCTTTGAAATCTGCATACTGTGCTGTCAAGAAGTGTGACTTAAATCAGATGGAAGTTTTAGCACTGTTTAAGAAAGAAAAACCTATCATGCCTGCTGAACAATGAAAATAATATCTATCAATATTTTATTCAAATTCAGCTTCCTATAGAATATACTAATTAAAACCAGCACAAATCATTATGAGCTTGGCTACTTTCAACTTAGGTAGCTTTTTGTAGTCAGCCTGTGGGTTTAAATTGAAGAGTTATCAAATATGGGTTTGGGTAAAAGCTGCTGACATCAATGCATTTGTGGAATAGGAATGGTAAGCTTAGTTTGTATAAACTGCAAGAATATGTCTCTAATAAAGTTTGAGGTTGGGGAAAAGTTCAATGGCACATTTCAATTAAACCCAAAGGTACCTTTGTGAAATATTTCTAAATTCCCCAACAACATGAGCATGCTTTTGGAGCGGAATGCCCCCTATCACAGGTGTGCCTGGTGCTAATGTGGGATTGTCAACAGGATCAGCAAAACACTCCTGATTCCTCTGCCTCAAAAAATACTCAAACCCTACTTTATTTCTGCCTCTCCCAATTGAGCTGATATGGTGAGATAACATTTAGTATCTTGTGTCTAACTGGTACATGAAGGAGCAGCTGAGTTGTTGGGGCAGCTGCTTTCCTGTATCTTTTCTTTCTGCTGAGTTCCAGAGTCATGATCACACTGCCCAGGCTTACATGTCATACTATGTCTTTTCAATTTTCGTAAAATGGACTCAACATGGACTCCAAATTCCCAGATTCTAGAGATGAGAAGCATGATTTCTTTTTCTTTTAATTTCTTTTTTTTTCTTTTTTCTTCTTGTCCCAGCTCTGAAATGTTGCATGTGGAGGGGTTTCAAACAGTTAAAATTAGCCTACCTGTATGTTGTGTGCCTCAGTATCAAGCATTGAAGTACCTAAATACAGTATTTCACCAAGGTAGCACTGATTTAACACTGTCCAGGATGGATGCCCAGCTCTCCTCTCTCATCAACCTGTGCAGTGCAGAGGACCACACTGATCCTAAGGTGACTTTCTGCCACCCTGAGGAGCTTTGGGCTTCTGATGTGACATGCAGCTGCAAAAAGGGTCAAGTGGGACTTGCTGCCTGTCCCAAAGCCACTGTCCATCCTGGCACTGCAGACCTTCAGCCAGTGCTAAGCTCAAGGCTCAGCAGGAAGCACAAGTCAGGAATCAAGACAAGCCAAGACACTGTGGGCAAGACCATCACTTTTCCTTTGGGAGCTGTAAGGCTTCTTGAGCTGAGCTGTCCAGTTGAGAACCCATTATCTTCACTGGGTTCCTGCACACATCCCTATATATTCAGCTGTTTTCTGCTGGAATTGGCACTTAGCAGATATTCTGCTCAGAAAGAAAAATCAATGGCTGAGAGTGATTTCTGGGCACTGCTTTCCTTTTGCGTGACTACCCCTTAATTTTAGAATGTTTTCTTTAAAAAATTAACATATCTCATACTTGTGTCTGACCCAAGACTGAGTACTTCAAAATTTTACTTTGAATTGAACAAGTTCAAATGTGAGGTTGCCAATTTTAGAAATAGAGAATTTAGAAAAAACTCACACTGAGCTGAAAAATTTGAAGACCTCTGCATAGGCTTATGTTTTTGTAAGGTACTCTTTTTAAAATGTAATCTTTTTGTGGTTGGTCATATTTCCTGGAACGAGTTACTAGAGTTCAGCTTTCTGCTTGTTAAAAAAATAAAAAATTAATTAATTGTAGAGCTTGGCAAATAGATTCTCATTTACATAAAAAGTAGAACATGTGATGGATGGTTGTACATGAAAGATATTAAAGATATATGGTAAACTAAATTTAACTGTGTGTTTTAATCTCTAAAAGATTGTATAAATATTCAACTTTAGAAGAGTTTTCTGGAAGTTGTTCTGTCTGTACTCATAATTAAGAATGCTGTAATTTTTGTCTGGGCAATTTTATTCAGATCCTCTTTTCCCCAATTCAATTTCTTGTTTAGATTAAAAAAACAAACAGACAAAAACCCCAAAACATTAAGATGCCTTGCTAGATACATTCAGTGAGTGGGATTTGCTCAGAAATAGTTCATTCTTTCTTGGCTGTTAACTTTGTCCCTCATCTTTTTGTGCCATGTTGTTGGAAATCTGCTTTGAAAAGTGAGTATTTACTTGACAGATTTCCTATGGCATGATTGCTGTGGTATCTGAGTACTGCATAAGCATTAACTAATTAAACCTCACAGCACCCTTGGGAGGTGAAGGCATGCTATTATCCAAATATGACTGATGAGGTATTCAGGTGAAAACTTCCATTAATTTTGGGAGTCCACTCAGTACAAGTCACATTTCCCTGTTTCTAGACCCTTTGCTGTGGAGCTGCGACTTACGATGTTGGAGGACCCTGCAGGACTCTGCAAGGAGGGAATTTTTAGAGTCACAGATGGCAGGATTCTTCTAGAAATCACTCAGAAATCTGGCAGATCAGGTCGTGTAAGCACCTATAGATCTGTGAGACTACTTAGTTTGCAGAAATCTTCAAAATAAGCTATTTTTTGCCAGTACAAAAAGTATCTATCTATCTATCTATCTATCTATCTATCTATCTATCTGTATATCTACACCATTTTTCTGTCACAAACTTTCTTTAACTTTGAATGCTGGAATACTAGATTTCAACATGAAATGTTGAAAATTATTCTCACATAGTTAAAATGCATTTAAAGGTGTACACGGGCAAAATATTATAATAATCCTTAGTATCCACCTGAGAAATAACTGAGTCATTTGGGCCAAGGCAGGAAATCGTTAAAATATTTTTCTAGGTTTTCTCTAAGTGCAGTAGGAGTATAAAAATTATAAGAAATAGATTAGTAATAGCACATACAGAAACCTGATAATATTTTAGTAGCACCAGGAAAAGAAATATTCTGTTAGTAAAATTGCTCTATTTAAGCAATTAATCATATTTGCATATATATGAATGTAGGTATTGTGTATCACCTTTTGTTTACACTGACTGACCAAATGCAATAAATGCAATATTTAAGATTTTTACATTATTTTTAATTAATTTAATTAATCAGGTCAAACACTAGTAGTCCATGAGAACTTGTTTGATATTCATATTACAGCTTATCAGGCATAATACATAAGATCAAGCACTTTCGTAATTGGAAAATAAATACTTACTACATGCAACAATGAATTGATTTTTCTGCAGTGAAAATGATATGGAGAAAGCAGAATTACTCTTCTTAAGCTATAAAATTGTGGAAAATGATTGCTTATGCCATCCTCACTGGAGAGGAAACTTATTTCCCTATATCAACTTACATTATTAACTAATTAATTAATTTATAAAATATACTAATTGGGAGGCTCAGAGGGTGATACTTCTCTATGACTTACCCTTCCCCATAGTTAAGCTCTGCTGCTTTTGGAGGGTGAGAACCTTTGCCCCACTCTGAACCAAAAAATGTGTCAGGGCAAAACACCTATTTTCAATACTTTAAAAGCATTTCAAAAAATCCAAAAGCATGAAATTTTTAATCCTTATCTTAATGCAGCTACCGAGCTTGTGGGGGATGCGCGTGCAGGTCCTGGTTTCCCTGGGGCTCAGAAATAAAAGACATGCCTGATACTAATCCAATTCGAGGAGTTCAAACCCAGGAAGATTCTCCAGTTTTATTCTTCCTTTCAAAACACGCTCACAATCCAAAAAATGTCTTCCAAAAGATGAGGTAATTCTGTTCTGGAGAAATGTATCTAATCTCACTTTACAAGTTCAAGGTGTTAGTAAAGCTAAATTGATGAACTATTTAATCGGTGTAATTTCTCTGAAATGTCATCTTTTGTGAAATTGCAGCTACTTTGAAGTTCAGTTGCCTAATTTCCAATTCTAGTCATTGGATCTTGTTATGTCATTGTCAGCAAGGTTCAAAGGCCTCCCACTATTTCATGTATTCATGATCAAGCACTTATTTTATAAGTTGAGCTCTTTAAGACTCACATAATAGGGTTTATTTTTCTTATACTTTCGTTCATTATTTTGGCCCTCCTTTGAACTGCCTTTGCATTTTCACATCTTTCATCTGTGGACAACAGAGAAGATACAACATTTCTTGCACTGCTCTTACTAACACTGGATGTGGTCCATAGCTGTTCATGGACAGATCCTCTAATTAGCCTGTGGTTGGCAGAGTCTATTGTGAACTGTTAGTGCTACATTACAATCATTTCCATGTTAACTTCTCTATAATGTTCCCATAATATGCAGAGGAAATACCCCTTGAGGGTTCTAGTTCTCTACAAGGTACTCATTATTTTGCAAGCAAATCTACAGGTGAACTTTGTATATTCATTATTTTTCTGCATTTGCATTTTATATTTAATATGTTAAAGTGCATCTGCAAATTATTTTAATCTCGAGTATATAATTCTGCCCTGCATACTACAGAAAAGGTCACTTTTCTAGCATGGGAGTGCAAATGCTAAAAACACCTATCATCATATTAAATGAGAGCAAAAGCATTTAGCAAACTAAGTGAGAACTAGTTCTTCAGAGTAAACCAGAATAGGAAGCGTGTCAGTGGCTCTTTACACTGAGGTCTCACATGTGGTTTCAGCTTTTTCTTTTGTTATTCACATATTTTTTAGACTTTTAGTCCTTCAAGGCACTTTTGGGCAGTTACTAAAGCAGTTTTCATCTTGGCACATGCTTCTCATTGTATACACCGTCCATCCTGCTGGCTGGGTGTAACTCATTAGTGCCCTCCAGCAAAAGGCAACCTTCAAAAAACCAGCAATTTCTGAACCTCATGAGGTGACCGAGGAGACAAATACATTGAAAATGTTTTTTAGGACTTTGATGCTTTGAATTGAATGATTGTGTCAAATAATTCTGTTTATGAATGCAGGTCAGTAGCACACACCAACGAGCAGTACTGTACTTTACCAGTACATACATAACTTAAATGCAGATGGCTGCTTCAAATAGCACATCGAATGATTCCTAAAAGTGCCTGTAATGAAATAGGGTTAGAAAAGAGCAGGTTTTTTAAGAGAGATTGTTATATGAAGCTTTCTCTGAAATAGTCTGCAGGGTAAGAACTGACTTAGAGCAATGAACAGTGTTGCTGGAGGAAGGCTGATCACGAGCTACCTTCCAGTAAATTGCTCCACTACTGCTGTGTACATGCAAGGGACTGATTTGGGTAATACCAATTTTTTTTCAGTATATTTTTTCCAAACAATGGTTCTGGGCACTCAAATCATCATTTTTATGAGTGGCTGGAATTTTTAAAATAACAGATACATCTGTTTCACATAATGTAATAAATTTTGTTGGGATTCTCAACTGGAATTTAGTCAAAGCATAGTCACAAAAAAGAATGCTTCTTAGCTGTGTGCCACAATAAGACATCATGGTGTTAAGTACTGTAAGAAAAACAACATCTTATATACAAATAGATAGTGATTCTCAATTTCTTAGAAGTTATTGCTTGTGATGATTAATTTCTGGTGTGACTGTGTTTTCTGTTATGAAAAGAAGCATAGCAAAGCCTCACAATTCTAATGCATTTTTACATCTTAATTTTTCTATTTTTAAAGCTCTGTTTCTACAACTTCCTAAAAAATCACTAAGGATACATAATACAAGGAAAATAAAATAAGAAATAATGTTTATCATGTCTTCAAGAGAAATACTTTTATTGAGATTCAGATTAGCTTTTGTTTTTAAAGAGTGTTATTCATATTTGTCTAGAGCTTTCTTCCTCATTCTGGTTTAGAGGGACTATGCCAACTTAGATTTGGCTTGTACACTGCATATAAACAAACTTTTATATAATTGAGACTGGCAGAAATATTTGTCACATTTTATTCTGATTTTATATATTTGATTCCAAACATTCTGTTATGATGATTGAAATGCTATCATTGCACTCACTCCTGCCAGTTCTCATGGGTGAGTCTTGTAACACATTTTATTTGTCTCAGAGGCCACAGCCCCTAAATCACATGGTTATGTGAGATTCAGCTTTCCTTTACATGGGAATTATGTTTCTAACCCTCAGAGGAAAAGCTTGAACATATAAAGCCTATACTTTAAAAAAATATTCAAACATTCCTGGAATAAACAATGAGAGTGATTTTTCACACCCCATCCAAAATACTTCTAAGTGTTTCAGCTCTTGAATGGCCTTGTTTAGCAATGTTGCTTTGAATATCCAGATTTGAAGGCCAGTGGGGTTGCCTGCAGAGGTTCTTACCCCTCCTGCATCCTCCCTTCTGGGGCTTTGTGGTGGACAAGAAAATGAGAGGTGGCCTGGAGGCTTGAGCATAGAGCTGGAGCTGAGCTTAGAATGGGCTTACTCTTGGTGTTTTTTAAATAGAAGGGCAGGGATAAACAGAAATAAATGCTTGGAGAGAGAAAACGAGGATGAGGGATGGATCTAGGTAGAGCTGGAAACTGAAAACTTGAAAAGATTAGTTTAAAACTATTCAGTTTTATCCCTATTAAAATTAGCCAGCCTTGGCATTTTGTTGCTTTTGCTTTGAATCAGGCTGCATTTACAGGCACCTCTACATTATTCAAATGCAACCTATTTTGCAGTGTTTTCAAACAACTGCTCCTAAGGAGTTGTCAGAAAATAATGAGGATCTTTTTAGCCATGCATTCCTGTGGCTGAGGAGCTTCTGTGCTAGAATGAATAATTTCTTGTTGGCAACGCGACTGAAGGGGGACAACTAAATGAAAATTTGATAGAGAACAAATTCAAAGAGCTGTAGATTAAAAAAGGCTAATACTTTAAATTGCATGACATGCCTTCACCCAAAAAGCTGCCAAATGGCTCAAGTTTATATTAAATGAATGGTAAGGATAGAAGAAACCTATACCCCCCACTCAGGAGAGACACAAGTATATGGAAAGATTATATAGAAACAAACGTTGTCAACTTAGTTTTACATGAGTGGGACTCATAATGAGCAAGAATTACTTGCACATTCAGTCTATTTGAATATCACAGGGAAAATTAACTTTTTAATAAACATTTTTCTAAAATAGATCCAGAGCCTTGGAGTTTGTGGTTGTGGTCTCAGATCACTCTTAAGACAGACACTTCTTTGTGTTTGCATGAAATGTCACCATGAGTGAAATGCAATGCTGCACCATGACTGAAAAGTTTTAGGCATATCATACTATCCTCCAAACTGTGGGCTATATGATAACATTTTTTTTTTCCTGATAGTTGCTTATTCAGCAGAAAATTTAAGTTCCTGTTTAACTACTAATGTGAAGCAGATAACTAGTTGCTTGTTAAACGGCATAAAACAATCTGTTAGGAGAGGTCCACTTGTCTCCATTGTTTGGAAGAAAAGTCTGGAAGGTTTCTTTATTGGAATATGAATCCCAATATTACCAGGTAGATTGTGCCTGGGCCAGTCTGACCCTCGCTGCTGGGCCAAAGGCAGCAGCTGTGGTGCTTCACCCCGAGACACCTTTAGCTTGCTGGTGGTTGCAGCTAGGCAGCCAAACAAGTCCAGGCTTGTTAGGAACTCTGTTTACCTCAGGAAGAAGGCTTCAGGCGAAGGTGAAGACAAAAGAAATGGATTCTGCTGGAGGGTTTGATACCCAGAGCTTTATTCCATGGTGACAGAGATCTGAACGTCAGTAACAGCGCCAACAGAATGCTGACCACATGGCCTGATTCACATTTTAAGCTCCCGGGGCAGGGGGAGGGGACAGGTGAGCCACCAACCAGGTGGGAGGGGTGGGGTCTCAGGAGAGGATGGCACCTAGACAGACCAATGACCTCTGGGCCTGAGGGGCAT